CTAATAAATGACAGGGTCCTTACGTGATCACTCTGTCCCAGCCCCTCTATTTAATCATTCAAGCATTCCCAACTTCATCCTAGTCAAAGTATCACCACGCTCCAAACTCATAAGCCATTATACAAGCCCCTCACACTCTATCCCGTCCTCTTTGGTATCAACATACTCCAACCCCTTTGTAAAACCTTCCCTGATATCAGCTCTTCCTTTATGAGCTTTTCGCGTATTCCTAACACAGTCTCAATGTCCTCCTGCCCCACACTTCCAAGCTCTCTTCACTAAACGCCAATTCCAGCACGGAGTCACATCCTCCCTCCAGCCCAATTCCTACAACCCCAAACCCCACCCCCTCAGCACGCCCTCCGGGGCCTAAGCCACCAACCCAACACCCCGCCCCACGGCCGTCACGCCCTCCAGATCCCTCCAGGGTCCTTTCAGCCCGCCGGGCCAGACTCCCCCCCACCCCCCAGGGCTCCAAGTGCCTAGGCCCTCCGGTTCACCCCGCCAGTCTCGGCAGCCCCGCCCCCAGCCCCTCACCGAGTAACAGAAGCTTCACTTCTTTGGCCGCTTTCTCTCCGTCCTCCCGCAAGTTCCGGTCGATCATCTTGCTCCGCTCCACCGCCGCCTTGTCCTCGGCGCTCAACGTGCAGCCCATGGCGGCGGCGGGAGAGGGGACCGAGCCCGGGCTCACTCACACACCGCGGAGACTGCGGCTCGGCTGGCTGAGACAGCGTCTACTGCTGGGCGGCGGCCCTCTCCGTCAGCTCCTTGAGCGCCCGAAGGAACCGGATATCCGGCGTCACGACACTTCCGGCAACGCCCCACGGCGGTTACTGCTCAGAACTCTCCGGCTGGGGTAGAGGAGGAGCAACGGAAAGCGGAAGTACGGAGAGAGGACCTGTGAGTCCGAGCGGTGGTTCCCGGAGTAGCGATGTCTTGTCGAGCACCCGGTGCGCGGCTCGACCTTAGTGCCTCCTCTTCTTTTCGTCTGCCTTATTTGGATAAATGTAGAAAAACTAGGGACTGGCTTCCCCAGTTGGTGGCGCCCTCCTGAGGTCAAGCCGGCTTTGGATGGGGGCTGGGGATTCCCAAATAAGAGTCCCCAGCCGGCACAGGAATTTCTGCTGGGAATTTCTCACTGGTTAGAAAGCCCCTTTGATCTCTGGCTGTGGAGACCCGAAGCCGCTTCCCAAGCGTATGACACTCTGCCGAGGTTCTCTCAGCCCGATCTACGGGATGGGAACAAAGAGCAGAGCCTGGGGCCGGCAACGCTTCACATCTTGAGATCTGCAAGGCCGACCACGCCTGGCACCTTAGCATCCCCTTCTGCCCTCCCCTCTGTCCCACCGCTTCCTCCTCTCAGGATGTATCCCGGTCCTTGTGCCGTAACCTCCGAGTTGCCCAGCGACTATGTTGACAAAGGGCCACCTGAACTCGCCTAATAGTCTATTACCTAAAAGGTAAGAGTGTAGTTATCCACAAGATTTCCGTGCTACCTTTCTCCAGTATAAGCCAGTTTTAGCGCGGATAAATGATCCTGCTTTAGGGGCTTCGGACTCCTACCAAGATCAGTTAACCTCAGGCCCGCACCCCAAAACAAACCAGTGCATCCTGTGAATCTCCCTACTGAAATTTCCTGTTGTAGTACCACCCAAAAAGGGAAGTTCTAGTAGATTTGTCTCTCAGCTCTAGCATCACCTGAAAATAAACCTCTATGAACGCCTCAGACTCCTAGCTTTTTCATTCATAATTCTGGGTACTACCCGTGAAAGTGACCCTGAATTACCTTTACTGCCAAATAGCTGCACAAATACTCTCACCATATATTCTAGAGAGGAGAACTCTTGTGGTCCCCCAAACCGTTCCCTGGGATTGAAAATTATTTCCCTAATAGAATTTAAACCTTAGCATTGGGACCTTATGGTCCCAACAGAAAGGTCTATATGATGATGTTTCATTGATTAGAGGGATTTCTTGAGAGCCACCTTAAACAACTTCATCCACTATAACTTAGTAATGCCAGTTCTTGAAAGTTTGAAAAGCCTCCTACTCATTCCCAAATGACTGTTAGAATAAAAAGGATGGCTTTCCCATAATCAATACTTATGGGGGGATAGGGCAAGAGGAAAGGGAAGAAAAACCAGTATTTATTGAGTACCTATTTGCCAGGTATGGCTAGGTGCTTCCATATGGTCATCTCTTTTAATCCTCACAACAACCCTGTGAGGTAGGTAATGTTACCCCCATTCTTACAGATGAAGAAATAGGCTCGGAGAAATTAAGCATCTTTCCCAAGTTCACACAGTGAGTAAGTAGATGTCTGCCTCCAAACTCACCCCTTTTCTACCATGTCACTATAAGATGTTACCTGGGGAGACCTGACAACAGAAAGTTTTCATCTAGGCTGGAGAGTTACCCCAACACCACCCAGGTGCAGGAAAAGTAACTGACGGATCGGTTGTCTCAGCCTGTTGATTCTTGAGCCCACTAGAGAGGTCAAATTTTGTCCAGGAACAGCCTTCATAGCCAAGATAGCAAATTTTAGCAAGCGATCCTGGCGACTAGAAAACAACTGGAAGGTGGTCATGGCAGAAACTGTTGGGAGAATTCTCAGCATAATGGAAGAGAAATTTTTATTTCCTTCATGATCCACTCAGACAGGGAAAAATAAATGCAAATGAACCAGCCTATGTCAAATTCTGTAATAAACACCAGTGAGATCACAGTGTCAGGAAATATCAGCCTGAATTAGAGACATCCTTGCACCTAAAATTTTCTTCTTTGATGTATGTGAAGGAAGGGTTGGAGGGCAAAGTCACAGGAAAAGGTAAAATAAATTAACAAAATGGCTGCCAGGCAATGTTTCCTGCCCTCCCCTCTCCTCACTCCTTCTCACCATCCCCACCTCCCCCCTGCACGCACCTTTCCTGTTTCCACTGGACTCACACTGCCACCTGCTGGCAATACTTAGGGCCTACTAGCCGATCCGTGATGTTTGAAGAAGAGTTTTTTTTCCTCTTATCTATGAATGAGATGCCTCCCTTATGAGTTTATTTTAAAAGGGAGGAGAGCAAGAATTACATGTTTTTCAATCACGAAAGATTCTCCTTGGTAGATATACTATCTAGGGGATTTCCTCAGTGTAATAGGTTCTAGACTAAAGTAAGTCTGGTGGTAGGAAGACAAACCTGTAAATTTTCCTACATCTAAAGGGGAAAGCTGTTTGCCCAGTTTCAGCTAATAGATTCTTTTCCTCAACTAGAGTTTCATTTACAACCCTCACACTTTCCACAATCCACAGGAAGCTTCCATGTAGGTACCTTTACTGCAGTGGACTGAGCTCCAGTATATTCTCCAATATATTTCTCAGACATTCTTTAGTGCTTTACCAGATATAAAATGCTCTGTAAAAATACAAGGTACTTGATAAAATTAGACTATGAACTCCTCAAAGGCAGTGACTCTGTGGGCCCATAGAATACTAGGTATTCAACTATTATGCACTGAATTGAACTGAAATAGTAAATGTTGATATCAGTATAACTTTTTATAATAAGTATTTATTGGCCGTTCAAAGGGGAAACTATCCCACTCCCACCAGCCCATCTTACCCTTGAATGTTCAATGCGCCAGGAATTTGTCCAAATACAGATCAAAGCACCCTCTGTTCCTGCCTGAACCCTTGAATGTCACTTGATTCAACTGAGGGAGGTGGATGGACAGGTAATCCCAGGTGGGCATCCTGTCCAGTTTGCAACTATTTCCCCTCCCTTGCAAATACCACCACAGATACCAGCCAACAAGTTCCTACAGTCTCAATCAGTGAGCAGCTGAACCCAACTCCTGTGCCCTCTCTCCAGCCCAGGACTGCAGATAGGAGAGAGATTTAAGTCTTTGTCACTGAAGCTAATTTTGAGAGCGATGAATGGGAGTAGGGAGGCATTTAATGGACCATAGAAACCCCACCCTTCCCATTCCCAACCTTAGTCTCTTGTACCCGATTGTCCAGGGGGCTGGAGGTGGGTCACTGCCATGAGGAGAGAGATCAGGGAGGCCACTCCTAGGAAGAAAAAAAAGATTTACAGTATTATTGGTCAAGGTGATTATTTGGCCTCTCTGTATCCACCCACCTTAGCAATTCAAATGCTAACCCCCACCTTCAGCCACCCAACCCCCAATATTTCCACTTCTTCATTCTAAAAAATAAGGAGAAAGAGCCATCCTGTTGTATCCTTGCCTTTGCTGAGATCAAGCCGGAAGCTTGATCTCCCATGTACAGGAGAAAGACAGCAAAACAGAACAGAAGGGCTGTTTTCCCACAGAGGGTGGGAGAGAGCCGCAGTCAGCTCTCCTGCCTTCTCCTCTTGGTACTCTGCTTTTCCCCTTGCTTCTGGCCAAACTTGGGAAAGGAACATACCCAGCTGGTTTATACCCTCTCAGTTTAAGGAAACCTCAGGTCTAAAACTAGAAAAAGATCCATTAACTCGAATGAAAACCCTTAGCTGTACTTTATTTAGGTCTTTTCAAACCTAGCAAGGAAAGGAGAAGACACAGGTCACTTTCTTACCTTGCTTGGGTACAGTTACTGCCCTGGACAATTACACTGAAAAATGAACTATCCTAAAGAATCCCCAGGATAACTCCAAACCTGGCCTGCCGCTCTATATCCTCCAACTCCTACCCTTGGGGAGTTTCTCTGCTTCCTGAGGCATGGAAAGTTCGCTGGTTGAAAGGAATCATCTCACCTTCGTGACCCTTTGTTCTCATTACCATCTCACCAGGTTCCCTCCCCCAGTAGTCAAGGATCATAGCTATGTCCAAGGCTTTTGCCACACGTTCATCCTGTTGGCATTGTTCCTGACCCAGAAAACACTAAGCAAAAGCTGTGTGCAGAGACCCCAGCCCCAGCCCCTGCTAGCCGGGAATAGGTGATCTCACAGGGTGTTCCTTCAGTCATAAGTGGCCCCAGCCCCATCTCCCTCCAAGTGGCCAGAAGCCTGTCATGATTCCAGTCGAGGTGAAGGGGCGGGACGGAGGTAGCTGTCCGACATGATGATGTCGCTGGTGAGTTGTTGCTCCAGGAACTCAGAGGTCTCTTCAGCTATCTGGCCTGGAATTCGAAAGTCCACAGCAGGTGTCTCCTGCTTGGGGCTGGGGAGGGGTCGGGATACCCAGGACTCTGTGGGACAGCCTGTACCCTGAAGGAACTGCAGAAAGTTCTCCTCAATGGAGCCCTCCCGGCTAGGTAGCCTCAGCTCCTCCTCTGGAGCCGGCTTGAAGAAGCAGACAAACTGCTTGCTGAGCTCCCCCCGGATCTGCCGGTTGAGACATCCATAAAAGAACGGGTTGGAAGTGAAGCAGAAGTAGCCAATCCAGGTCACCACGTTCTCCACCTGCCCAGTCGAAATGGGCTGAGCACTCAGGGCAACGTAGAGGTGGAAAGAAAAGTAGGGCAACCAACAGAGCAGGAACTGTCCCCCCACGGCCAGGAGGACCACTGCAGCCTTCCCTCCTCCGAACGTCCGGTGCGGGGTGGTCTGGGGGGCCCCCGAGCTGGTGACCATAGTGGAGCGGCTGCTGAGAGACTCAGAGCGTTGCCGGGGTGTCTCCATCCAGGTGGGCAGCGGTCCGTGCTGCATGGCAGCCACTCGGGCTACTCGGAACATGCTGCAGTAGACCACAAGGATGAGGAGTAGAGGCAGCAAGAAGTAAAGGACAGCAAAGACCACCACAAAAAGCTGACAGTAGGCACTGCGGCTCCATTGGAGTGAGCAGCCTGGGGGGATGCTGGGAGCTCCCTCCTCCCGGGAGACCCTTCCCAACACTGGCACAGAAGCCATGGCCAAGGCTTTCACCCACACGCCCACCAAAACAGAGGCCACCAGCCCCAGCGTCATGCGCACCTCGTAGCGCATGGGGTGGACAACGTAATAGTAGCGCTCCACATTGATGGCCGACACCGAGAGAATGGCCAGGCTAACAAAGCATATGCTCAGGAACAAGTAGAGGCGGCAGGCGACCTCCCCAAAGAGGTCATGGTCAAAGAGGGCAGAGCTGGAGAGCATGGCCAGGGGCATGAGGGTCAGGGCGGCCAGCAGGTCCACCAGGCAGAGGTGGAAGACGAAGACAAATTTTCGGAGGGCGGGTGTCTTGGCGATAACAGCCATCACAGCGGCATTGCCAGCCACAGCGATCAAGTCCAGCAGGAGCATGAAGAAGAGAGCCACAGATTCCGAGGCCACGTCCCGCAGCCCCACCTCTGGGACCCCACTGGCCGTAGAGGGACCTGGGGTTTGAGGGACCCTCCCCAGAGTGGAAGAGTTCCCTGATGACTGGGGGATGGGAGAGGACTCCATGGGGCCGAAAGAGGACACCCAGGGCACCTCCTGTCACAGGCCCATCCCCCATCCTAGTCCAGTGACCCTGGGATGGCCAGCCCAGGCCCAGGCTTGCCAATTTGGGGGGGGGGGGGGGGGGGGGGGGGGGGGAGAGGGCGCCTCCTGCTGGAGCCTCCCGGATGGGCTCTAATCACCAGCCTTCCTGGCTGGGCTGTGTGTACAACTGAACTGAGCGCTCAGAAGCTCATCTCTCCTTTCTGGCAAGAGGTGGCTCCGGTCGGCCTTGGTGACCTCGGAGAAGCAGGAGACGTGAGAGATGCCAGAGCCTCACTCACTCAACATTCCACCTTCTGAGTGGTCTCCGGCTCCTTTTAGTTTTCCTTGCTTCTGTTCTCCATACCCTTCTCCTCTCTCAGGGACTGTTATCCAGAGGTTCTAAATCCTCTCTCTCCCTCTCCCAGGGTCCCACTGAGCTCCGGGATAGTGCCCCCGTTTTCAAGTTGCTTATGTAAATTTCCTGATTTCTTGTCTCTCAGAATGGCAGGAGCTGTTGGGGAGTAGAACGGACACGAGATCTGGTTTCCAGGCCCAGGTCTGGGAATTACTGACTCTGTGACTCTTCTGGACTTCAGTTTCCTCGTGAAGGCATCTGTAAAATGAAGGGAATAACAGCTACTTCACGACGGTGTTTGGAGGATCCTGTGAGATTTCATAACAATACCACCCATAAGCGCTAACATTTATAAAGGTGGTTTCCAAATACCAAACCCTGTTCTAAGCACTGTACATAAATAAGCTCATTCTAATCCTCACACAACCTGTGAGGTAGGTATTACTCTCATCCCCATTTTGCAGTTGGTGAAACTGAGGCCCAGAGAGGTCAAGTAACTTACCAAAGGCGGCAAGGTCTGGGTACGTACCCAGGTGCTCCGGCTCCAGGGCCAGTACTCCAGCCCACCTGACCGCGCCCTCCACAGCAGCTGGAACGCAATAGGCATTCAGTGAATAGTTGCTGAACCTGAGCCATCTCTAAAAATGGCTGTCAGTGCTCTGGGGTTACCACTGGGAAGAGATCACCTGAAAGGGGGAAGGACTGTGCTTTCGTCTCCTGTGACATCACCATCCTCAAGACAAAGAGCTGCCATTTGGGGGCTGTTGAGAAGGAACAGTGAACTCAAAATGTCCCAGCTGGAAGGAAACTGGGATGTCAGCCCATCCAGCCTCCACTGCCCCCAAAGGAGAAGGGCATAGGTCACTTGAAAGCTGCCTTTCTTCACCCACTCATCAGCTTCTCAAGGCCACTGTGCCCCTGAAGGTGGGAGAGGAAATGCTCCTAACCCCCCACTCCCTGGGTCCCCAGATCTCTGATCATTGGAGCAGATCCCTGGCCCAGAGTCCTCTTGGGCCTGGACTGTTAGCACATTCCAGAGCAAGGAGGGAGAAGTAGGTGTCTGAGAGTGGGTAGGTCACTGTGACTGTGGAAATGGTTGAGTATAAAGCAAAGAAGAAAACTGGAAGGAATGGGGAGGGGAGGAAGTCTGGGGTTTCAGCATCTCTCATTTCTCCTGACCAAATGGCAGATCAGACGTTTTATGTGTCTCATTATCCATGTTAAGTTTGCGTATAATTGAAATAATAATGCAATTAAAAAGTATTTTTATTTCCATATCCGATCTTGCAGTCCACTTTCTCCCAGTATACTGTGGGAAGATATGCAGATTTGAGGCAAACTATGGACATGCCAAGTCTGATGGGCCGTCTGTAGACAAGTCCCAAGTTCCCTGGATCACGGTTTCCTCATCTGTAAAATGGGAAGGTTGAACTGGACAACCTCCAAGAGTCCCATATCTGACAACATTTGATGACTCTGTGAGTTCCTGGGTTGCTCAGTCTAAAAACCCATCACTTCTCTGACTGCGATAAAGTGGACCACGAGGGGCAGACCATCCCCATTCCCTCCCCATAGTTACAGCCTTACAACCACCCTTGGGTTTGGGCATTACCACCAACCATGCACTAATTTAACTTCAAGCATGTCATGCATGCAATAGGTGCTCGATAAAATGTTGTGAATCAAATTCAAACTGGTCTGTTGAGTCCCTGCCCCTTAGTACCTGCTCCAAGCACACTCAGTAGGTCAACTGTGTGCCAGCCAGGGGACTCTGCTCTGGAAAGGGTAAGCTGGTCTCCTGGACTCGGCACAGCCCTAACTCTGGACAGTTGCCTAGGGATGTGCCTCTCCCCAGGGATAAGAGGAAGCTCATTTCACAGTTAAAATAGCCACATAGACTCAGGGTCTACAGAGAAGGTGAAGAGAGGGCTCAAAAGTAGAAACATCAGCTGTTCGTAAGACAGTCTGCCAGGAAAAAATGCAGAAAGCAATGCTAAGAGAGGCATCCTTGCCCCTTACTCTCCATACCGTGGCTTCCTCGTCCCTTCCACCTGGGAGTGGGGCCCAGAAGACGCGGCTCTGAGGCCCTGGGAGCTAAGGGAGTAAAGGCCCTCCGTGTCCGCATGGACATCAAGAGTCTGCCAGCAAGGCCCACCCAGGGTCCCAGACTGAGGGAAGCAGACATGGTTTCCACGTGGAGATGGAGGGGATATACCGTGCAGCCGTGATGAAGCCCTAGGCAAGAAGACATTGGACAATTCTCATTTCCAGAACCCCCTCAGCCCAGCCAGGATCTCCACACTGACTTCTAAATTCCAGGATTCCCATTTCCGTCATAACAGATGGGCCCCATTCCTGCTCCCCAGCATTCCCTCACTGATGGATGGGGGTTGAGGAGGGGAGGGTTGTGCATCACAGTGTCAGGGGGGAAGCCCGGAGAGCCTCACTCCACTCCTAGCTCACATCATCATGCCTTCTCACATGCTCTTGTCTTCCCACTGTTTCCTGCCAGCAAGCCCTCCCTCACCTCCAGGACCTCTCAGTACCTGGCAGGCTTTGCCACCACAGGGGCTCAGGTCTGGCCCCCTAGACGGGGCATGGTCAAGTTACAAATATCCTTGTGTCAGGACGCAAGACGTGCATAAGTGTCCAGCCTAAGGCCACAGAGGTGTCGTTGGGATTCGCATGCACCTGTTCCCCAAATATAGAGCTTCCCTCCCAAGGATCCGAGCACGGCCTTCCTTCAGACAAGAGCATGGCCCTCCTAAGCCGGGGAGATCTCCAGGGGGCAACCACACTTCTCCACAGCAGAGTTGCCCACGCCCAGGACGCAGAGTTGCCCATCAGCCTACCTACCAAGGGACCCATTCCTAGGATGCGGGGGACCCATCTCTATGACATGGAGTAAGACAGATGGGGAACCCTGTCTGCCTTAGGATGTGGGTACTCCCTCTGTCAGGAGATCAACCCCCATCTCTGGGCTTCAGAGATGCCCACACCCCAGTACTGTCTTTGAGAGACCTGGGAGCCCATCCCTTGATGAAACTGCCCAGCATAAGGTAGGGTTGACTGGTCCTTGGGACACAGAGCTAGGCTCCTGCAGAGTACCTCAGCACTCACCATCAGGCCCTGGGACTGGCCCCCATTCCTGGCCTAGTCAGCAACTCCTACCTTGGCTGAGCAGCTCCCGGCTCCCATGTGATTGCTCCTCTCAGCTGATGCTTCTCCAAGGCTGCTGAAGCCTGAACCACTGCAGTGAGCGGTGAGAGGCAGCCGGCAGAGCAGGATGCTCCAAGAGCTTCTGGGTCCTAATGGCCTCCTGCTTCCCACCCAGCCACTTGGAGCCACTTCTGAAGCGAGGAGCCAGCCACCAGTGCCCCCAGGGAGGATACTCAGGGGTGGTTCCAACCCCCCTCACTTTTCTCGGGGTGCTGGAGTGGCATCTCAAAACCCTCATGGGGCCAGGTGACTGGGGGCAGGAGAGACCCTCCTGGCCAGGCTGATGAAGTATAAAGGGTACTCGGAGTCAGAAAATCCAGGTTTAAGGATTTTCTTAAATCCTCAAGCAGTTCCGGCACTTACTAGCTGTATGACCTTGGGCAAGTCACTTCCCATTTCTGGCCTTGGTTTGTTCAAAGAGAATATAGGATAGACGATCCTGAGGCTCCTGACAGGCCTGCCATTGTATGCTTCTGTGTGACATCAGAACGAAGACGCTCTTGCAGCAGGCTCGTCAGTGGAGACACAGAGTACCGGGGTTAGGCCGGTCAGGGGCCAAGGTTCCAGGGTCCGGCTCCTTTGACAGCTGCCAAATATGTACAGCCGATAGGTTCAAGAGTAGCATTCAGGTTTGAACGGGAGCTAAAGGCCTTGTCCTAACCCTGCATTTGTCCCTCAGAAAGCACATTACTATCGTTTTCTTAGATTGTATACGTTGATTTGGTGTGGGTTGTGAGAACCAAGGGAAACGGGGGGCTCTAACATCCCCATGAGCCCCCACATGTGGTGCCACCACAACACTGTTCCCTGAAGACAGAGCAGGCACCAGGACCTCGGGAAGGCTCAGATTGCTCTGGATCTGTAGGACTGGACTGAGCTGCACGGAACACCATCCGTAGAGGGTCCAAGGCAATGTGATGAGCGTTTTGGGAGTGAGATGGAGGCTCATGGCTTCCCACCATGAAGAAACCCTCAGTTACCCTAGCTACGTGACTGACACCCAAGGATAGGATTCTAACATTGCAGAGCTGTAAGACACCCTACAGGCCAAAGCATCCATGTTTCTGAGGCCGAGAGAGGTGAAGGGGTTGTCCAAAGCCACGCATAGCAGAGCCGTGAGCCTAGGCCAGGAATTCAGGGGTGATACCTACTCCAGAGCCCTCTGCCCTGAGACTTGCCCCTCCAGAAACTCTTTCTGCCTCCAAAAGGGAAGAAAGACCAGACTCAACCGGAAGAGCCATGAGAACAATGACTTACTCAGAAAACCCAGAGAGGGCAAGGTGGCTGCCCTGGGCCCCAGGTCAACCACAAAGAGACCACTGACCAGCCCAGAGCTGAAGCAGTGATCGCCAGTATCCCCAAAAACCCTTTCTTGAACTCTTACAAGTGCCAAATTCTTCACATACAGTACCTTCAATCCTCACACAAGTTCTATGAGGCAGCCTTAATGCACCTTATTTTATGGATGAAGAAATGGGAGGCAGAGGTTAAGTGACTTTCTCCAGATCACACAGATAGGAAGTGCCAGAGCCAATATTTGAACCCAAGTCTGTTTGAAGCCAAAGCATTTACCCCTTCCTCCATGCCCCCAGGACCTCTCTGGAGACCTGACATGAGACTCGGGGCTGAAGCCCTAAAGTCTATTCCATAGAAGTGGCCATTGCCTTCCAGGAAACAGCCAAAAACAAAACATGCACCTTAGTACAGGGAAATCAAATTAAAATACCAAATGTAAACCTGTAGACAGCAAAATGGTTTCTATTAAACCCTGTGCCACCATGTTGGCAAGAACATCTTGAGATTAGTCAAACCCTCGGGGATCAGG